TGCAGAGGACAAGATAAGAGGAGATATAACTTGGCTGCCTGGTGATGCAAAGGGGGGGCGATTTGAAACTAAAACAGCAAATGGCAGTTTAGATGGAAGTCTTGCACAGTAATAGGGTTGGTTTTGAGAAGGAGGGTGTGGATTAGACAGAAAGGTGCTCCTCCTCAGTGCCAGCAAATCTGCCTCACTGGAGCATTGTCCCACCACCCATCTGTCGGTTGTACTGTGGTGGCTTGTGTATTGATGTGATGCTGCAAGCTATGCTGCTAGTATTTCAAATACCAGCAGGGTCACTCATGGTGGACAGGTTTACACAAAGCTTTCAGATTAAGAGTAGGAAGAAAGGCTTGGTGACCTACTTTTAGAAATTAGCTAATGAAAACCTTATGGATCACAACAGAGTATTGTCTGATTTGCTTTCTTTAGGCACAACATCAGGAGGGATCAATTGTTGGAGAAGGACACTGTGTTTGGTAAAGTACAGGGCCATTGAGGGCATGAGACATACATGGTGAGATGGGTTGGCATGACAGCCACAAGGATGGACTTGAACATGCTCGCTATCTTGGAGAGAGATGATGCAGAACTAGGCAACATTTCATTCTTTTGTACATAAGACCACTATGAGTCAGAGTCTACTCAATGGCAGCTATCTATCTATCTGTCTGTCTGTCTATCTAGAGCATTGTTGCCCTGGGTTGGGGAGCAGCAACTTGTGGGATGTGAGGGCAGATGAGATGTTGAATTGCTAATTGTCTCCTTGAGGCTTCCTCTGCTCTTTGGAGCCTCTCTCTTGGTGAGCAAGAAGGAGCTCTAGGTACCAGACATTGCCGTGTTCCTGGACACCCCATCCTGGCTCCAGGGGAAGCTTCCCAGGGTGAGGCCTCACTTCCATGGGGGCTCCACCAAGGCTGGACTTGTAGAGCAAGGATGTGCATTTCAGAGATATCCCTGCGACTCTGGTCTTCCTTCAGAATCAATCATCAAGTGATTCTTCTGGTGCTGAAAACAAATGACACTCCTAACTGTCATACACAGTCTGTGTGACATGCGGTGTCTTTTCTCCAAGGTTCTGGGAAACAGGGCCTCAGCACTGTAGACTTGGGCAGAGGGTCACACCAATTCATTGCCCAAGCAGATGGCCTGGACCCTTGGGCACCCTGAAGACAGGCTATTCATGAGCTTTATGTTTCCCTCATGTTCCTGAGTTCTTCCAGAAGCAAATGAGAGGTCTTAAGCTGAGTTCTCTAGAGAAGAAAAACCAGTGAAGCCTATATATGTATGTATGTGTGCATATATATATATATATATATATATGTCTATATGTGTATGTGTGTATATATGTACACACACACATATAGACATATATATATATATCTCAAAGCCCTGGTAGCACAGTGGTTAAGCATTTGGCTACTAACCAAAGGGTCGGCAGTTTGAATCCACCAGCTGCTCCTTGGAAACTCTGTGGGGCAGTTCTATTCTGTCCTGTAGGGTCACTGTAGGGTAATGCTATTCAGCTATATGCATCCCTTCCTAATGGAGGCAGCTTTGCTTTTCCCAGAAGCATGCTGGAGATGAACTCGAGATGAACTCGGGCTAAGGTACAAGGTCGGGGGTGGCACGACTGGGCTGGTGGCCAAGGCTGAGGGATGCCTTATCAACAGAAAGGAAAACATCTGAACCTGGACATGTAGTCCCTGGAAGTGCTAGCTGCCCAGAGACTTGGAAGAAAAACAATAAACCTTAGCGCCAGCTGGAACTGTATATAAGCTGGTGTGCCTTGCCAGGCGGTAGCAGAACGCTACTCTGGTCCAGCTGCTGCCCTGGGCTGTCCTGTACGTAAGTTCCCCAAGTAAACCATATGTCTCGATCACTGGTTCCAGAGTCTGTCTTTGGTCTCTTGGCTACGCAGCCCAAAAAACAAATCCACTGGTGTATATATATATAGATATATATATATAAAATAATCCATTGGTTTATATATATAAAAAGAGAAAGATTTATATATTTATATCAAGGAAATGGCTAATGTGGTTGTAGAGGCTGGAAAATCTCAAGTCCATCAGTTAGGCTTGAGGCTTCTCCTGACTCATGTAGCTGCAGGGGCTAGTGAGCCCAAGATTGGCAAGTCATACAGCAGGCCTCTGGCTCATAGGTTGCTGAGGCTGACAAATCCCAAGATCGGCAGGTAAGCTGCTAGCTCAAGTCCCAAGAACCTGAGGTCAGATGCAGGATCCAGAGCAAGCAAAAGCCAGAGAGCTTTGCCAGAAAGTGCACGTACATTGGATGCAGGCCATACCCCCAAGGAAATGCCATTTCAGCTGATGGGCTGCTCATAGCAGACCTCATCATGGAGGTGATTATATCATTACATAGCTGCCAGACTACATCATAACTGCCAAACCACTGAGAATCATGGCCCAGCCAAGCTGACACACAACCTTAACTATCACATGAGAGTGTGTATGCGTATGTGAGCCTGTATCCAAAAAAGAAGGCAGGGACCAGATGGGCTGTCAGCCCTTGCCTCTCTCAGGCTGGATTCCTGCTTAGCCTTCTGGTACCTAAGTAGGGGCTCATCCACTATTTAGCTCCTTGCAGCTCTATTTTCCAGGACTTGCTTGCTGGTACCACTCACACCAGCTGGGCTCCAGCAACGAGTAGCTAGATCACCCGGGGCCATGGTGGGGCATCTTCCTGAGAGTGAGGATTAAAGGATGTCCGAAGCATTGATGCTGGCCAGTGCCTCCCCCTTGTCAGCACCCACTGAAGATTCCCCACACCTCTCCGGCTCCTGTGGGCTCCCATAGGGCAGAGGCTGTGCTGATGCCTGCATGTCACTATGCTCCTGAAGGCTTTTTGAATGGTGGACTCGAGGTCGGGTCCTCAGTTCAGTCCAGGTCTCAGGCCTGGTTTTCCACCATGTCCAGTCCAAGGGTCCCACAGCCACCCTCTCTTTGCTTCTGTTAGAATGCTCAGCAGGGCTGTAGCTAGTGATCTCTTGGATGGATGGAGCGGGGCAGGGTGCACATTGCCTTGAGGGCCCCTCTCTGCTGGGAACTTCCAGCAAGGGACTGTCCTGGCTCAGTGGTGGTACAGGAGGCTTCACCCAAGAGGCTGAGTCCCCATGGGACTGTTGGCAGCACGGTTTGGTCACAACCAGGCCCACAAGGTCTGAAAGCCAGAATCAAGCTTGTCAGGCTGAATATCTCAGTCATCTTCAACTGGCCTTTGAAGACGAAACCTCCTTTCCACATAAGCAACTACGACGAGAGGAACCCAGCAATGGGTCAGTCAGAAAAAGTAAGGAGGCAAAGCTGTTTAATGCAAGGTCTATATTTGTAAGTCCCAGGCTTGGCTGCCCCTGCTAGACCATGTGAAGGTGAGGTCCCATTAGAGAACTTCCTACAGGTGTTCACAAACTTGGTGGCACTGAGGGCCCGCTGGAGCACCTAGTAAGCCCTGCAGGGCCTAGAGGTGAGAACCCAGGAGACTTGGAGGCCTCACTGGCCAGAAAGAGCTGGGACATGGAGAGCAGACTTCCTTCCCCCAGATGCCCCAAATCATAAGTACATATACTGTCTTAGCTCAGGAACTTCTGGCTGATTCCCTTCAGCAACATCTCTGCTTGAATGTTCCTAGTGATAGGAAACTCACTAACTCTTGAGACAGTTTTTCCACCCCTGGTTTGCTCTCACTATGTGAAATGTCTTCAACCTGTTGCACTGATAATTGTCTCCTTGTAGCTTCCTCTACTCTTTGGGGCCGACCACACAGAACAAATATAACCCTTCTTCCCCATTACAGAAGGAGACTTGGTGGAATAGTGGTTAAGCACTCGGCTGCTAACCGAAAGGTCAGTGGTTCGAACCCACCAGCCGCTCCACTGGAGAAAGATGTGTGGCAGTTTGCTTCCGTAAACATGTACAGCTTTGGAAACTCTATAGGGTAGTTCTATTCTGTCCTATAGGGTCGCTATGAGTCGGAATCAACTCGATGGCAACAGGTCCCCGTAACATCCCTTCAAATACTGGGATCCACACATTCCCAGTTCATTCAGTCTTGCCATCCTAGACCTTCTTCCCTGCAGGCACTCCAGTTTGCCTAATACCCCTCTAAAACCGTGGCACTTGCGGGTGGGTCTAGCTGAGCTGAGGAGCAGGGGCATCAGCTCCCTGGTGTGAGGCTCTGCCTTGTCCAGTGCAGTCCAACGTTGCAAGAGCTGCTCCCGCAGCCAGCATGAAGCATCAGACTTTCTGCTGCTGTAGAGACTAGTGATTTCCTAACTGTGCTCAGGGGGTCCTGAGGGCTTCTCAGAGCCTCTCGGGGTTCACAGTGGCAGGAGGGGGGGGGAGGAGTACGGTGTGGGGGCTCTGGAATCCTCCCCTACCATTTAACTAGAGCATAGCTACTTCAGAGTGTTTTACAAATGAAGCTGCTGCATGAGCTTTGGTTTGAAGCAAGGGCACAGCAGCTGAAAAATGTTTGAAAACTAGTGTTGACTAACATGGTTCAGTCTCTTTGTCACACGGTATCCTAAGCTGCACCTCCCTCATTCCATATATGTGCAAATCCCTCGCCAGCACCAAAGGGAAAGGGCTGTTCCCCATGATTGGCAGGCCCAGGACCCTTCATTCTGATGTCCTGATGGGGGTCCCAGATGGCTCTATTGCTCTCAGGAACACCTGAAACCCCATTTCTGCTGCTTCTATGAACCAGAGGGCAGAAGCGGGCTCGCACAGGGATTGTAGGAAATATCTGTACCAATAGTGTAAGTGGCAGTGTGGGCCAGGCCAGGATTGCACAGGGTCTGGGCATCTGAAGACAGGACAGGTGATGCCCATAGAGTGTGACAGTCACACAGGCGATGAGTGTGCTGGGCCACTGAGCGGTCCAGATAGAGAGCAGGGTGGAGTAAGAAATCAGGAGGCGGTGCCTGTCCCAGCCCCAGAAATGGTCACTTCCCAGCCGCCACAGGGCTGGGTGGGGACACTCACAGGGCAGCGTCTCAGCGCTGTTCTTCTGGATCATTATGCAGAGCTGTAGCACCAGTTGGGGGGCGCTCTCCAAGAAGGTCTCCAGGAGGCGCAACATGTTGACGTCTGCATATTCGTACATCATAGCCCAGTAAAAGCGTCGCTGGTGTTCCTTCTGCCGCTGGCTCTGAATCCCCAGGTACATGGTGCGGATATACCTGCCGAGAGAGGGACAAAATGGAGAGCTTGGGTGGGTGTTAGGACTGTGGTAAGTTTTCCTAAGACCAAGCACCACCTTGTGCCAGCATCCTCTCCTTCGCTCTGAAGCTTCCCCGAGTCTTGGGTAGGGCTCTAGTGGTTCTCAAAACCCAAGGTCACAATGTTAAGGCATAGGGATGGGAGTGGGGGCAGGTCACGGAAGGAGTGTCTGACACTCTGTGTGATCTTAGGCAAGACGCTCCCTGCTTCTGGGCCTCAAAACCTTCCAGGTAAGCCTCTTAGATGTCATGCATCACAGGTGAGCTCAGAGGGTGGTTGGGCTTTCTCAGGTGCAGGGTCCCTGGGGGAACATTCTAAGAAGGCTTTCACTTCTATTACACAGCCCTGCTACTTTCTCAGTAGGAGGAAAAGAAAGGGAATTAACATTTGTTAAGCTCCTATAGTTAAGTGCTCAGCTGCTAACCAAAAGGTTGGAGGTTCAAGTCCACCCTGAGACACCTAGGAAGAAAGGCCTGGCAATCCACTTCCAGAAAATCAGCCATTGAAAACCCTATTGAGAACTGTTCTGCTCTGACATACATGGGGTTGCTATAAGCTGGAATCCATTAAAGGAAACTGAGTTTTTTTTAAAGCTCCTACTGAGTGCCACTCCTTAGCTTACTGTATATTACCTTGGTCACAAGACAGTAGATATAACTCTCCACATATTACAGATAAGAAAATAAGCTGGGGCTCAGAAAGGTTAAGTCACTTGCACAAGATCCCACAGCTGGATGGTGAAGCAATAGGAGTTGGTCAAGGATATTCTGACAGCAACACCTGTGTGCACCCCACTACAAAAGGGAAAAGCAGATTCTGCAGTGGAACCTCTATCCAGGGTTGGCCCAGGACCGCGGTCACACAAATCCAGTGATCCCACTCACTCAGGATTACACCCAGGCACCATTAGGGGAGGAACAAGGAGCAAAGGAAACTGGTGCAGGGGCAGAGCATGGACTTAGTGGTCAGTAGACCTGGGGTTCCCAGACTTGGACAAGTTATTCCAACTCTGTGTTCTTGGACTACTCTTTAACATGGAGGAATAATAGTAGCATCATAGGGTTTGTGGGAAGAGTAGTGAGATAGTGTATGTATAGAGTGCCTGGTACACAGTTATTGTGGATTGAATTGTGTCCCCCAAAAATGTGTGTCAACTTGGCTAGACCATGATTCTCAGTATTTTGTGATTGTCTACCATTTTGTCATCTGATGTGATTTTCCTATGTGTTGTAAATCCTACTTGTATAATGTTAATGAGGTGGGATTTGTGGCAGTTACGTTAATGAGGCAAGACTCAATCTATAAGATTGTGTCTTAAGTCAATCTCTTTTGAGATATAAAAGAAAGAAGCTAGCAGAGACACAGGGGGACCTCATACCACCAAGAAAGCAATGCTGGGAGCAGAGTGAGTCCTTTGGACCTGAAGTTATTGTGCTGAGAAGCTCCTAGACCAGGAAAAGATTGATGACGAGGATCTTCCTCCAGAGCCAACAGAAACGGAAAGTCATCCCCTGAAGCTGGCACCCTGAATTTGGACTTCTAGCCTATTAGACTGTGACAGAATAAATTTCTGTTTTTTAAAGCCATTCACTTGTGGTATTTCTGCTATAGCAGCCCTAGATAACTAAGACAACAGTAGACATTCCTCCTAGATCCATATAAGAAGACCCCTAGTCCTCATTTGACTTCCTGAATCTGAGTCTCTGACCTACAGTCAAGAAGAAGGATTAATGTGCCATCTAAACTTAGCTTGGTCTCCTAAATGCTAGTGGTCTGTGAGGCAGGCACATGGTCAGAGGTGCTGGCAGTTTCAGGCCAAAAGCCAGGTTCTGGAAGCATGACTTTGTAGGCCCAGTTCAGATCAAGAACAGGAACCATAAATTGTCTAACGGCCCCCTTCTGGGTACCTCAGCCAATGGGAGAGAACCCCATGAGCATCCCTGACCATCTCTGGGCAATATGCATTCTGCAACACTTCACTGTGCCCTCTGAGATTCCAGTCACAAAGGGAGAAAGCACAATGGACACCTAACCTAGGCCCAACTGTCCTCAAGCATTATCAAGTGTCCGTCTGGGCTGGGCAGTCCATTCTGTCTCCATTACCATCGTCAGCCTGGTCCTGGCCACTATCACCTCTTGCCTGGGTCAATGCAGGAGCCTCTTAATGAGTATCCCTGCTTCTGTTCTTACCTCAGAGCAACCCATTCTTCATACAGCAGCCAAAGTGGTCCTCTAAATTCATAAATGCAATCATGTCATTTCCCTTCTTTCTACCCTCCAATGGCTTCTCATGATGCTTCAAATAAAATCCAAACTCCTTACTTTGGCTTATAAGACCCTGCCTGCCTCTCCAACCTCACCTCTTATTCTCTCCCCCTCTTTTCTCAGAGTCTTTTCCATCTCCCCCTGGAGCTCTATGAGCTCTGCAAGCACAGGTGCCTTGTCTATCTTGGTCACTGCTACAGCCCCACTGCCTCACACAGTACCTGGCACACCGCAGGCACTAAGTAAACATTTGTCAAATGAGTGAATGGATACAGGGATGGCCCAAGTTAGAAGGAAGATTCCTCCCCTACAGAGCTGAAGAGTCTTGGCAGGACAACATGGTCACAAGCACATCAAAGGTAGGTAGTCCACATCCATGTTCGTAGCAAATTCCTGGGAAAATGTATCATAAGGTGGATCACTTAGAAGAGGGTATATTTTCTCATGGGAGCAATGGGACAATTGGGTCATTGCCTAAAATCTTTGCTTTGACATTATGGAAGTACTATGTTTTAGAAACAAAAATGGAAGAAACATTGTGGTGCAATGAATTACTTAATATGGCCCTTCTAGCCATGTATGGTCTTGTGACTCCCACAAAATGATTGAGTGTTTGTGGCCCACCAAGGGGATTGGACAGCTTTCTAATAACGCAAATAAGGTGCATAGAACCCTTGAGGGCCATGCAAATAAGCTTTATGGAACCCTAACAAGGGAATTAGTCAGTTTTGTCATCCTGCTAGGCTTTAAAGGGAGCTAATCCCATAAGTGAGGGGGGAACTCACTACCATCAAGAAAGAAGAGCCAAGAGCAGAGACCTTTAGACCCAGGGTCACTGCGCCAAGAGTGTCCTAGACCCAGGAAACAGAGAGAGCTATAACACTGGAGACAGCAAGAAGTGGCTGCAGAGAAATGGCAGCAGCAGTTCCAAAAGTCTGGCATGAGATGGTACAGTAGGCTTCCCAGCCCACGAAGTGAGGTGGCTATAGTGAGTGTGCCAACCTACAGAGTGAGAGAGCTGAGTGTCTTTGGGCCAAGAGTTACTGGCAGAGTGAGGTGTCTCCAGGCACTTGTTGGCAGAGCTAAAGAACTTTGTAACGCTTGCCCGAGCAGGGCAGAGGCCAGGCTGGGAGCCAAAGGGTAGAGAGGCTGAGGGCCAGAGAGAGGCCTGCCTGCAGGCATGGCTAATAAGCTGTCCTGACTGAAGAACTGTATTTTGAGTCATGCCTGATTCTGAATTGTAACCTGTTATTTCTCTAATAAACCCTATAACTGTGAGTATGGTCTGTGAGTTCTCTGTGGCCATTGCAATGAGTTATCAAACCCAGCAGAGAAGTAGAGAGTGCCATGGGAGGGGCAGCTCGTGTCAGAATTGGTAAAAAGGGAGGATTAGAAAGTATATCTGACCTCCACCTCATAGGAATAAACCTTGGGCTGATCCTGATGGTGATTCTTTTCCCCAGGAAGTTAGAGGTTCTGACACCATCATGTCATTTTTACAAACATAAATTTGTAAAATAATTTAAAATCATAAAATGATCCTTTTATCCAATTCCAATGTGGTTGGCCTGCCTCCCAAGCACTCATCATGTACTAGACCCACTGCTAAGCAAAAGCTCCAGGGTCCCCAAACATGTACAAGAGAACAAATTACAACCCTGCTGAACCACAGAGGTGACCTAAAACAAATGTGCTAGCAACAAAAAGTACCCTTCAACCTCTGATGAACAATGCTATGGCTTTCTCTCCAGATTCCTTAGAGGCTTTGAGGGAGGGTTTGGGTGACTGTACCTCTCTGAAGGGATCTACCCAGGGAAGCTGAGATGGACACCTTATTTCTCTCTAGACATACACTCTGGAGTGAGTGAAGGAACAGTCCTACTAACAGCTAAAATGAGGGAGACGCAAAGACAAGGGGCAATAAGGGGAGGAAGGTACAGCAGCAGGGACTATATTCAGAGAAGGATGTAGCGGGATGTTCAGAAAGTGTGCCAGGCCTCACGTTAGATACTTCCATGTCTATGTCCACTGTCTTGAATTCTGTTGTACCTTGTGAGGCAGGTCTTTTTTAAAATCATAATTTAGCATACGGGAAAACTGAGGTTCTGAGCAGTGAAATAAAACACCCAATTCTGATTCTATCCCTGGTTTTGCCACTTACTGGCTGTTGCTGTTCCCACTAGTCATTACCTCTGTCTGGGCCTCAGTCTGTAAATCCACAAAATCAAGGGACCAGGAAAAAAGCTTGGACAAGGACAGGGAGGTTGTTGCACCTGATCTGTAAAGTCATGGGAATCACTGAGAGAAAGGTGAGTGAAGTATAGGCCTGAAGGAGACGACCAACTGAAAGAGGTGACAACAATAAACCTGGGTAGGGTGGGCACGGCTGTAAGAAATATTGTCATAAATAGTTTGGATTTGGAGAAAGAGTCAGACTCTGAATGAAAGGTAGAAGGGAAGGGCCAGATTAACCAGATCTGATGGTAGCTTGGGAAAGCAGAGCAGCAGAGTACAAGGATGCTACTGGCTGAGTACCAAGGCAAGGCCATGAGTCCAGAGGTTCCACGCCAGCATCCAGAAAAGCCATGTGTCCAGTGAGGCATTCGGTGTTGTGGGTCTCACAGACCAGATGTGGTCCCTGTGATCCAAAACTCAGGTCTAGCTACATATAAGATCTGTAGTACACAATTTCATG